AAATATAAAATTCAATTTGATTTGATGATCCTTTTCTGTCACCTAAAATCAGGAGAACGACAATGAGCATGTTAAGATGAAAAAAAAATTATCAACACTTACCTACACGTTAGTCCGAGGAGTTTTATTAAAAACCTATATTTGCCTAAATGATTTATGTATTAAATCTGCAAAGCAAAATGCAACGTGTAAACAAATGAAATAATAATAAATAAAGAAAATGGCGACAAGTCAACGATCAACGTCAACGACCCGACAAGGAGAAAAGTGGTGTTCGAATAACAAATTATGGGTCACCAAAAATTGTTTTTGTCTCCTTTCAACGCACACTTTAGAAAGAAAAAGAGAAGAACTGAAATACTGAAAGAACGTCAAGGTTTTATCTGTCACTCTTGTCAATAATTTATCGGTAAGGAAGATTCCTAGAAATTCGCTTGTAGTCAAGTTTTCAACCATTGCCAGTTCTCCCATAAGAAGTGTCATCCACCTGGTAAAAACTGGCAGAAAATATTTGGGAGAGTGCAACTACTCTTTTCCTTCTACTATGGCCGTAGGCTTGCCGTAGGCTGAGCTTACCGCTTTTCCTCTTGCCAGTTGTGTCACGTGTCTTCTCACGTGTCGTGTCACGACCTTGAATTTTTACTCCCAGCGCGCGTAAAAAAGTTTCACTTTCACTTTCACTCGATAAAACACTAATTCACCATAATACACCAAAACACTTTAGTTTTACACTGGACGCGCGTTTCGCTAACCATGTTAGCAAAATCAGCAGATGATTGAGACTGATGACTTTGGAACTTTAGTCTTAGTTTTCTTTAGCATTAGTTTGAACCTATTTTGCATCATGCTTCTCTTGCGATTAATATCTACCAACTACAGGATGACAGGATTAAGAATGAGAATCCAGACCAGATTTGCACGTGTAACCTAAGAAATTAATTAAAACCAATTCCACAACTTAATAAAAATTCTTTCCAGTCGCGAGCGGCACCGGCGGTTTTTAGGTTCCGTTCGATCATCCTCTTGTTGTGTGCAAAAGCGACTCTATTTCTGTACCTGCCACGCGGATCCAAATTAATAGCGCCCAAGTATTTAACCGCATCTATCTTATTCCGACACGTGCTGCTCCCCTTTACAAATGATTCCTTTTTTGAAGAGCTACTTATTGGCGCATTTTTCGAATACAGCCCCGTCCTAATTGTCACAAATTAGACGAACGTTCCGAACTTGTTATTAGGCGGAACTAATTTCTTTTTGTCGCAATGTTCCTTCGTTTTACTCTATTTTTTTACTTCCGACAAAGGACAATACTTTATATACCCAGATGCAAAAAAATGCAACGGAAAAATTTTCAAGTCAAGTTTAAAATGTTATATTTTTTTTATTTTGAGCCCTTGAATTTTTTAGCAAACTGTATATTAGGGTGTCCGTTATTTACAAACTTGATCATTTCTCTCACTACGCCCTCTAAATTTTTAGTTTATTGTCTAAAAAACAATAACAGACCATTTTAAACCCTTAATATTCACAATAAACCTTGCCCCAGAAACGATTCATTTCCCATTTAAATTACATGGGAATTTGCCACTTTTTGCAAATAATTTTTTTCTCTCGATTTTGTTCTCTTGCAGCCATGAGTACATATTCTTATACAGAATTGAACGCTCTACTAAAAAGGTATCTTATGGTGCGTTTAGACTTGAGCATGCACGCACTGATCCTCCGCGAATGCTCAAGCGTAAACGGCTGTGCGCGCATGCTCACTCTGAATCTGTCCGTGCACGAGCAGCCGCGGACGTGAGTCGTTTGGTGTCGGTTTTTGGTCCGTGCTCAAAGGGATTTTATGTGTGCGCGAACGCTCAGTTTGCACCGGCAATTTGTTTTGTCTCCGTTCGTGCGTGCGTGTGTAACTTTTTTTCGTTTTCTTTATTAAAATTATGGAGTGGATCAATGAATCTTCGTTATTATTAATTGAAGAATATGAAAAGTTGCCTATATTATGGGATGTTAAACATTCTTTGTATTATTAAAAAATAAAAAAAAAACGCATGGCAAGATCTTGTAAATAAAATTAATATTGAATATGTCGATAGTAATGAAATTGCTATTCTAAAATTTGTATCTTTTGTTCGTAATTTTTGGTGTTATTAAATTTTATAAATATTCAAAGTCGGGTCTGGTCATTCTTGTAAAGTTTTTGAACTGATCATAGCCCTCCTCAGACACTAAGTTATTGCAGTAAATTATATCGATTTCTAAAAATTTGGGTTTGCCACCAGCGACGATGTTTTCTCCTTTTTAATAATTAAGCTGTGCATAACAAAGACTGCAGCCTCGACTATTTGTTGGTCATCCATTATTTTCGCCAACATAACTCTGCTGTGCGCGCACAAATGGATCACTTCATTCGTCGAAAAATATTTTTTTAATTTGAACGGAGCCGAGAGAGCGAACGAATGCCGTGCTCAAGTCTAAACGCACCATTACAATTTTTCGATAAACGTACTCCTTCAAAAGTTATTTACGGTTAAAGTTAACCACTCGGTAAATTCCTAAATTCTTCAACTTTTTTTACAAAATTATGATTATTTTTGAAAATTTAATCTATTACTGTAAAAATATACAATTCTGATGGTGTTAAGATTGGGAATTAAAAGATGATTTATTTTAATAAACAATGTGTATACTAAAATGGTAGCAATAACTTTTAAAGGAGTAGGTTTATCGAAACATTGTAAGAGACCTTTTTTGTAGAGCGTTCAATTCTGTACAGGAATATGTTATTGTCATGGCTGCGAGAGAACAAGATGGAGAGAAAAAAAAATATTTGCAAAATGTGGCAAATTCCTATGTAATTTATATGGGAAATGAATCGTCTTTGGGACAAGGTTTATTGTGAATATTAAGGGTTTACAATGGTCTGTTATTTTTTTAAGACATTTAACTAAAAATTTTGAGGGCGTCGCGTCGTGAGAGAAATTATCAACTTTGTGAATAACAGACACGCTACTGTATATAAATATATCAACTTTAATCCTTAAACTCAGTTTTTATAAACTTTAATATTTGGATTATTATACAGGGTTAATCCAAGAGCTGTTTTTAACCTTATCTTTAAAACACAAGAGTATAATAACACAATACATAAAAGAGGAAAATAAACTTACCACAAACATTTTGCAATATTTTCAATCAAGTATCGTTACTTTTTGGTGTTATTCATATTGACGAGGTGGCTTTGGTGATTATTGTTGTGTACGATTGAATATGGTTCTTAGTGTTAAAGATTGTGCAAAAGGCAATGATCTTGTTGAAGATGGCCGAAATTATGAATATTCGCTTGGTTCTTGAAGAAGAATGGGAAAACATAACACAATATATTTGCAGCCTCGTTAACAGTATGAACCGACGGCGACGGACGTCTACAGACAGATATAGCAGCCGGGAGAGACAATACAATGTATTAGAGTATTCTTTACAAGTTTTTGTTTGTTTGTACACTTAGTTATTACAGTTATTCTTTTTACCATCCGTAATTCTTTCTTTAGTGTTGCTAATATTTATTAAAACCAAGCCTGTATCGTTACTTTTTAACTTTTTTTTAAATTGTCGATATGACATTACGACAATAGTCACCAAAGCCACCTTGTGATATTAAAAAATAACATCATAAAGTAATGATAGTTGAAAAAATTACAAATTGTTGATTTAGGTCATCTCGCTCTTAAAAATTAAACAAGGCATGTTGTGTTGACATGAATCAAAAAACAAGATGCTCAGAAAACATAGTTATGATAGTTCCTCACGAAATTATTGTGTATTAAAATTAAGGTAAAAACAACCTTCCGATTAACCCTGTATAATAAGCCAAATATTAAAGTATATAAAAAACTGAGTTTAGGAATAAGTTGATACATTTATATACAGTTTACTAAAAAATGAAAATAGAGCTAAAAGTAAAAAATATAATAATATAACACTTTAAACTTGAAAAAATGTTCTGCAGAATTTTTTTGGCATCTGAATGTATTATTGCGTTTGATTTAATATAAGAATACGCCTTACGGGCATGTAATATACAGCAATTTATTTACTGCATTACATTTGCTCCAAAAGAGCTAATATTTGTCTTATACAGACTATACAGTATAGTTAACATAGGTGTGACATAGGTATACAGTTCTTTCGTTTTACTTTACTTTTTTTTACTTCCGACAAAGGACAAAACTTTATATTATTGCGTTTTACTTAATATAAGAACACGCCTTACGGGAATATAATATACCGCAATTGATTTACTGCATTACATTGACACAAAATATTTGTCATATGTAGTTGTTGTTGACATATATAGTAAAACCTGGCCTTTCGTAATTTTTCAGTTAGCGATTTGACTTAATTGCGACTTCATATTATGTTTACATCATATTGATGTACAGGGTGTACCAATATCGGTGGACATATAGAACAACTATGTATTATCGCAATGAAAATAAGCTCATTAGACACAATTTACTTCTATGCAAAAGTGCTCCGTTTATCACATTGTGTCAATAAACACATTTTTGAAGTGAAACTTCTTTACGCGCGATGGGAGTAAAAATTCAAGGCCGTGACACGACACGTGTGACACACGAGCTAGCAGGAAAAAAAAAGTTGTAAGTCAATGAGGAAGTTGAGATGTGTCTTTGGAGCGTCGTAACTCAGGCCCTATGTGAGCTAGGGGGCTTAAAGTCGGAACGTAACATTTGGGATAAATTTTGCTAAGCGCTTTATCAATTGACTTTCACAAAAATCAAGAAAATGTATGAAGGGTGAAAAATACTTCCATCTCGAGATACTATATATGAAAATATTTGCTCTTATTCTTAAGTTTACCAAAATGTTCCAAAATGGAGGTAACTGATATAACATATATACTTAAGGACTTTATTGACACAAAAATAGCTCTGACATCTAATCCACAGAACCTACTAACAATGCATTTCTTTCTTTTCCAGAACACCAGAAGTTGCACCGCAAACTACTCAACAAAGACAACGAACCACTTCACGATCTACTCCGAACAGTTGTGGAAACAAAGGTAGATCATAATTTTAATAAAATCCTTAATAGATACAGTTGAGGGATGGAACCTTTGGTATTACACAGTAAAATAAAACACTAATTCACCACAATACACCAAAATACTTTACTTTTGCACTGGACGCACGTTTCGGTAACTATGTATTAACCTTGTATTAATTAATTACGAAAAAATGTTAGTGTCTTCTTCAAAAGCAAATATCTCCAACAAAAATAAAGCTAACGAGATGAACCAAAAAACAAACTATCGAGAAAAGATGAATCTAGATGATAAAATTATTTTTAAATTTCTTGCTGTTTTAACATACTCCACAGGGTGTTTCAAACTTTTACCAAAATATCAACATTTTGTTTCCGCTCGTATAATTAACAGATGGGGAGTTTTATTTTTAATTTAGAAAGAGATACTAAAAAGTCAAATAATTTGGCTACATACTATTTAAAAAATCATCAAAATCGGCCCACTAGAACAAAATATATTTAACTTTAAAATACATCAAAGTTTTTGGCATCAAGGTATCCATTTTTCTTACCGGTGAAATGTATTTTAAAAATTATATATTTTAGTCATAGTTTTCTAATGAAACTCGCCTTACAAAAAAAAACACAACTTTGATGTGTAATATTTTTGGGAACACCCTGTAGAACTCTATATATAATTTTAGAAAATGCTTTAAATTAGCTTATATAAGCTCACAAAATTTCACTTCAATGCAATCTTATGTTCTTTTTGCAAAAACCCCGTCATATATGACGCGCCACCCTGTATAATTCGATTTCAATCAAAATTTCAATGATTAGAATGTAAGCAGAATAGTTATAGCTTATGCATTAGACTCATTTATTTCAATAAATTTGCTTACAAAAAAATTTAAAAAATCAAAAAATTAAGAAGGAAATAACTAAGAATTTACTAAAATTACTAAAATAAAAAAATTAAAAGCAACGAAAAAAAATTGGGTAAACATTTTAGTATTTCATCTATAAAACACAATACAGAAGGTTTCACATTAAGATGTGTGAATGTACAGTAATTGAATTCCGAGGTAAAAATCTCTGGATACTTCACTATACTGTAAATTTAAAGAATTACTTAAACTAATTTAAAATGTAGGCGTTTGTGATATTCGTAGAATCATAATATCGAATCAGGCTGAATTCAAATAAAATTCGATTTTTCTCAAAAACAAAACATTAGAAGCGGCTGTTTATACGAAAATTTCTCTAACGGTCGGCGAAATGGGCTCCGGCCAATGAAATAATTACGTTTTAATGGTCTTCACTTTGTACACAAGCCGGAATTTACGAGTGCCTCGAAGTTTGGAAAACGGTTATCGCGGGATTCGACCGCTCTTTTGAGCCATTTTTCGGTCTAATTTATGGACTTTCGTAATGCACATGGCCTCGACTAATCTAAACAAGCCGCTTTGGTGTTCGACTCGTGCTCGGAGGGGGGCTCTAAATGATTTTAGAGATTGCCAGTAGTATTGGGATAAAAGAATAATTTTTAAATTTCTGTCGGTGAAGTGTACAGGGTGTCCTATTTTTCTCTTTTATGGTGTTTCTTCTTTATGAGTAGAGATACAAAGTTGCGCTTTTACATCACTATGCTACTTTTTTATGAAACTAAAGATGGTACACACAGATTTGTCATATCCCCCTTAGCAGGGGTGGATGGGCTATATGGGAAAACGGGAAAATTCCCGGTGGGCCGGTGGGAAGATGGGCAAAAATTAAATGGTTAATCTTCTAACTAAAGTGTCGCAAGATTATTAGTGATTCCATTACTATAATAACTAATCAATTTGCATCAGTATAATCGTCAGTTGCTTTTAAACATAAACACCAATTTATAAAATAACTATTGTAAGATGTCTTTCTCTGGGACACTTATAATTTTAATAAACATCATGTTGTTTGTTCTGTTTGAAAACTTTTATTATACAAGGTGAGTCTATAAGTGCAAATATTTTCATGGCTGGTAGATCTCAATAAAAGAAACATAATATATTCTCTTTACCGAGTTTTAAATAAGCCCAATCGAATTATTAAAGTTTGGAAATTAAAAAAAAATAAGATTTATTTTTAAAAAAAATTGAGCCACCTCAATTTTTCCATATTTGCATCTCTTTTAGTGCCGTAATATCAGAGATTAAGAAACTATACCGTGGGAAAATTTGCGGTGAACAGAAGCTAAAAAGTTTTCTAAAATATACAGGAAAATTTAAAAGAAAATGCTCGATATATAACATATAACACTTATAACATATTTTTTGCAAAAAACCCTCACAGACGTGTTCCTGGGGTCAAAATATACCACCCCTGAAAATATTTGCAGTTTTTTAAGACTCACCCTGTATAGCTTTACAACACTATTCTTATATTAATAACTAATAAATATGACTGACTGGCAGCAGAATAAAGAATGAATATTATTAGGTAAATTTAAATAGTCTTGATCTAAGTGTATACTAAGAATACTGTAGCGTAGATTGACAACTGGGGGCCTCGCTGCAATATTTTTCGAGTTCCCCTTTGTAAAAAAGTAGACGAATTTGACGCGAACTCTGCGGTTGACAGAGAAAACATAAAGATCTCTATGCTTGGTTTGAATTGGGGACGGACTAAAAGCCAACTCTAAATTGTTGTTTAAAATGTTGCTAAAATGATTTTACTAAAAATTATTGAGACAGCAGAGAAGAGTTAAATAAGGTTTAAACGAGATTAGATGTAATACAATATTAATATGTCTCGAAAATCCAAATATACTTATCATGGACTGTAACATAGCATTACATCAGAACACCTTTATACAGGGTGTCCCAGAAATAAGTGCAAATATTTTAAGGGGTGGGAGATCTCGATAAAAGAAACGTATTTTCTCTTTACAGTTTTTCATATAAGTCCAAAACAACGGAGTTTTTTTACTTTGAAAATTAAAAAAAAATGTTTTTTTGCTAAAATTTTGAGAACCACTGGATCTTTTCTGGATTTTCTTTCTTGTAAATTTAATCCATTACCTATGTTGCCATATTATCAAGAAATTATGTTTTTTAACTAAAAACTAAACAAAAATTCCAAAAAATTTTTCAAAAAATTTAGAATTTTCAAAATATTTTTTTCGCGAAAAAAAACCTCTTAGGCGTGTTTCTGGGGTTGAACTATACTACCAATTAAAATATTTGCACGTATTTCTGGGACACCCTGTATATCCACTGCCTAGTTATTGCCTAGGTTTTTTTCGTTTGAGTCATGGCATTATCATACAAGATGCCAAATGTAGAAAAGTAAGAGGAAAAGTTTCGTGATAAGAACTACATAATAACCTAAAATATGCAGCAGTCTTAATGGCGACCGCGGTTCATTCAGTTAAAAACACGTATACACGACGAGGCTGCTGCTGTACCATAAAAGAGGGAATTTCTTTCCACAATTTGTAAAGAAGGTATATAATCTTAAAAGCTAAAAATAATGAATTTCACAGAGGATTGGGTCAGCTGAACTGAATGAATCAGGAAATCAAAGGTGCGTATTCATTATCCGAACGAACGAACGAACGAACGAATGTTCGCTAGTGGTATGGACGGGGACCGCACGATAGAACCGCACGAGAGGACCGGACGCGAACGCCTTTGATGTACCGACTCGAAACGGATGGTCGAGCGAGCGAACGAACGAACGAACGGCCGCATGCGTTCGGTCCCCGTCTAAATATACTGCACTTTCATTCGTTCGTTCGTTCGTTCGGATAATGAATACGCACCTTTTTATAGTTTCTCAAAATCATGACTGAAAATCGTAGCCTATTCAAGATCAAATTACCGTTATCGATAATGGAAATAAAGCAGTAGAACCCTGTAAAACTAAGCCATTTTGTAGTAAAAATCCAGATGTCCGACCCAATATTGATCTTTATGAAAATGTTGATCAAGATAACTTAATTTAAAAAAAAACCGGAAGCAAAAGAGCTTTTCGAAAAACACCCTTACTTATATATTAATAAATAAAATATGTTTCTTCGTTATGGTCATTTTGTTTTTGTGGATTTGGGCCGGTTTCCACTTCCCCATCCACCCCTGCCCCTTAGTTTCTGAAATACAGGGCGAATTTGAAATTGTTACATTTTTCGACATAACATGTTACAATAACACAATTCGAATTTTCGAATAAAGATACGTAGTTTGTAAAGCTATTATCATGTTATAGAACTTGTAATGGTTAGTGATTTGTTTAGGCTATTCGTTATACAAGGTATTCCAAAAAAAAGTGCAAGTAATTTAACTGGTAATATAGTTCAACCTCAGAACCATGCGTATGAAGTGTTTTTCGCGAAAAAAAAAATTTGAAAATTCGGAATTTTTTGAAAATTTTTTTGGATTTTTTTTAGTTTTTAGTTAAAAAACATAATTTCTTGATAATATGGCATATAAGAAAAATAACCGTTATTTTGGACTTATTTGAAAAACGATAAAGAAAATATGTTTCTTTTATCCAGATCTACCACCCCTTAAAATACTTGCACCTTGCACTTATCCCTGGGGCACCCTGTATATACCTTGTATAATATAAAGTAGGTACAAATTTTCATCATAATTTTTGAATTGCATAATTTTAAATTGAACTTACACAGCATATCCCTATGGATCTGTCGTCGACAAATCTATTAAGAATAAAACAGACGAATCAGAATTTGTTTACTCTAACCTAATTGGTACTACAGTTTATGCCTCCACTTTTACGACGTTTTCCGTAATGGTTGGTTAGCTAAGTAAACAAATAAAAGCAAAAAGGGGGAATGGCTGCTGTCGAGAAATGACTTAATTTTATGTAATACCAGAGACCAGAGACCGCAATTAGGTTTACTTTCCTAAGAAAGTTTTGACTTCCTACAAGAAAATATAGTTTAAAATATATCTGAATTAACTTAATATTTGAAGATAGTGTCTAATTATATGAATATAGATATTTATATTATTATCTAGTGATTCTCATGTAATTATGTATTGCTCGTTTCGACATATCTGACATCGTGTATAAGCGATATAAATATTTTTTTAATGCGTGAACATTCATACCGGGTGGTGCATCGTTGGAAACATTTGAATGACGATGTTACAGTGAAAGCCGGAAATTCAGTGATTGTTAACATTCACTAGGAACTGCTAGCAATTACGCATTGGACCAGTGAATGTGGTATTTTAAAAAGATTTCTCGACTTTTCCTAGTAATTTCTAACATTTACTAGTAAAATTAGCACTTACTAAAGGCTGCCAGTAAAAGTTATTCTGTTGTACAGGGTCAGTATGGTGAGGAAGAACGTTGGTGGAAGGTAGAACAAATAAAAATTTTAAGAAATATTGAATCACCTCAATATTCAACCTATCTTAAAATTACAAATTACTTCTTTAGTATATGAATTAAAAATTATAGAAAATAACCACATATTATAACCTTTTAAATATTAACAGGGAAAACATAATAAAAATTTTAACTTTAAACTCATTGTACTACTTTAACTCATTGTACACTTGTACAAAACAATTAAAAAAAAATGGGCGCCGGGAGGCACGCCCATACTAAAATGTTAATAAAAAGTTGGTAGGCAGTTCTTTTAATTTCAAAGTAAAGGAATTTTCCCAATTTTTTTTTATCTCAAAAACTGAGACTTTGACTGATTTTGATGTTATTACAAATTTTGTTGCAAATATTATTCCTAATCTTAAATTGAAAACCGCGTTTCGTTAGGTACTGTAATTTTGGAGTTACGATTTTTTAAAATTTTCAGCCCCCTCCCATACACCCTTACCAAAAAAAACTAATGGCCAGATTCTCGGATGCCACAGTATTTTTGTGCCAAATTTGGTTAAAATCGGTTTAGCGGTTTTTGAGTTATCGTGTAACAGACAGACAGACAGAACCATGAAACTATTTTGTATTTAGGTCATTTATAACCCAATTAACTCATTTTGAGTGAAATTAAAAAAACTTTTTTTTTGCCGATCTTAATAGCCTACCATACCTATTGGTATGGTAGGCTAAAAACATTCATAAACATAATATTACTTATTGGTAAAAGGTTTTTTTTTAATAAAATTCTTCATCGTAGACTAGTGATGGGTTGTTATTTAACTATCTGTTATTTTATAACAATTATTTATAAATAACATAACGCAACCGTTACTACTTCTAAAAAATAACAGATATAAAATAACGACACTTAGAGATCGGCCGCTCGTGAAACGAAAAACGAAGTCGGCGCTCTGCATCACCACGAAATTCTATGCTGCTCGAAACAATTCCAAAAAACAACTAGTATGGATGGAAAACATGTTATTTCGTCAACCATCGATACAGGCGGCGAGACAACGGACAACGGAGTGGGGAAAGCGCTGCGGCGAACGTAGCTGCTTCGGTCGATACCGTCGATGGTCGTATTTACAACAGCTTAAAAATAATAGGATATAAAAGAAGCAGGTTTTTTGAAACAGTTGCGGACATAACGCCTGGCGGTTGCTGCTGCATCGGTCGATTGTCGATGGAGGCTCGCAACGGGTTGGAGAAGCAGTTATTTTAGATACGTTGTTTTTCAACCTGTTACGAGCATAACAGGGCGGCGATCGAGATAATCGGTGTGGGAAAGGAACGCTGCTGCATCGGTCGATTGTCGATGGAGGTTCGAAACAGGTTGGGGAATAACGCATCAGTTGTTTTAGAACATTCTGTTTCAACCTGTTACGAGCATAACGGACGGAGGTCGAGATATTATGGCGCTGTATGTTTCAGTACTTACTTATTAAGTTTCAATATTTAGGTATTTATTTATTCTGAAAAATTTTCAGAATAATATTTTAAGATTTTTTAAAAATGTATACAGGGTGTTTTGAAAAATCTGGTCATTGATTAATCACGATCCTGCTTAAAGCCCTTGACGTAAAAAAGCTGATTTTTGGAAAACGGATTGACTTTAGTGTGTAGAGGTTCGATAAGAAGGGATTTTTCGAAACTCGAATTCTAAGGGGGTGAAACTACTCTGAAATATTAGAATATTTTTATTTAAAACCGGTGAGTTTTTCGGAAAAACTCTTAAACACGTATATTTTATTATGTTGTTTTACATATTTTAAGATTTTTTAAAATTATATACAGGGTGTTTCATAAAATATGACCATTGAGTAATCACTATTCTGCTTAAACTGCTGGACGTTTAAAGCTGATTTTTTGCAAACGGACTGACTGTGGGGTTGAGGTTCGATAAGGAGGGGTTTCTCGAATCTCAAATTCCAACAGGGTGAAAACGCCCCTCAAATATTACAATATTTGTTATTTAAAAAACGGTTAATCTTTCGGGAAAACGCCTGGACACGCATAATTTATTTTGTTTTTTTTACATATTTTGACATTTTTTAAAAAATCATACAGGGTGTTCCAAAAAGTTGAGTAATTGATTAACCACGATTCTGCTTAAACTGCTCGACGTTAGAAAGCTTATTTTTGGCAAATGTGAAAAAAATTTATCCAGTTTGTATGTCAATGGAAATTCTTGTTTTGCTTTATCATCACCATTAGAAATTATTAATTTTGACGCGAACGAAGTCGCGGGTACACGCTAGTTTAACTGTAAAATTAATTCGAACTCTAGTGTGTAGTTGGTTTACTTATGAAGAATATACTACACATTTCCTTATATTGTTATTTTTTGACCGCAAATGGTAAAATCATAACTAAGAGTTTCTCGTCCGTCGAGTGAGATGCACCCTGTACACTGCTACGCAATTCAGGATCTATGCGGATCGAGGGGCATTAGGTAGATCGCAATGTGTAGGTATAGACGAGTGGCGGAATTTTGGCTTTTTTTATATCGCAATTTGTAAACAGCGCTTATTTGTAAATAACCACCGTTTTTAGAGAGGTATTTTAGATAACAATCGATATTTAGAAATGTTTTGACACCCTGGAAATACTACCACCGAGCCCGTCATTGTTGCAACTTGCAACTGCGTTAATACGCCTGGCGGTGAGCGTCTCATACTCTTTCAGATATTTAGCAGTAAAATAAAGAAACATGTTATTTTTAAGCTGTTATTTTAAGCTGTTTTTTATAAATAACTATAACAGTTTCAACTGTTATCTAAAAATAACAGTTTTGCCCATCACTATCGTAGACAAAATAAAGTATGCCCGAATTTTCTTCAACTGGAGTTATTCGTTTTTTCAAACCCGCTACTTCAAGCCATATCAAAACGTTTAATAAGTTCATAGTCACTAAGTTCTTTAATATCTTTTTCTCTTGCATGCTTAACTCTTGCTATGACTTCATTATATTGCAAAAATGAAAAACAAGTACTATTACATTCTTGCAGTGTCTAGTTTATCTTAATTTTTCACAGAAAATTTCTTCCATAGAGAAAATACCGCACAGCACTTTTTACAACGATAACAAAACAATTATACATAACAACAAAAATCAAAGCGAATTTACGCCAGATGTCTGTCAACGTTGCCAAAGTTTAACCCAATTTAATTTTATCCCTATATTGCCTATTATTCAACTTATCCTTATTTATCCTTATATTTTACAACGTGTGGCAACCGCGCTAACTGAATCTTTCAAACTCACTGGTCTTGTCCAGGGAATGCTAGCATGGCTAGCATTCACTAGTTGTATGTTAACTGTGTTCACTAGTAAAAGTTGGTTTCAAAAATAGCTGTTGAACTTTTACTGGCGTAATCTTAGCAAATCAGTGAATGTGAGCTTTTACTAGTAATTGTTAACATTCACTGATTTCCAACTTTTAATATATACAGCATACGCAGACGTTTATAAAACCTATTTACGACTTTGCTGTAAAATAAACAGAGGAACCAATATTTGAACAGTTCGAAATTTGCATGCGATTCCCTATGTTCCCAAAGACAATGCACCACCCGGTATAATAGGTCAGAATGGTTAGACATGCAATGTAGTTTGAATCTTTTGATTGTGAAAATTATACACTTTTATCGCACTATAACAAAACTATTTATTGTTACTTCAGATGGACTTTACGTTAACAATTTTAGTGTTTTAAGATGCTAACTTAGGTAGCAAAATGCGTGCACAATGATACCAATATAATTTGATTATGATTAGGCATGATTTAAATTTATCTTCTAAAAATATTCTTTTCTTTTTGTTTCAGAAGAAGAGTCAAACGATCATCACTCCGCTAATCAAACCCTCCAGCCTGATTCGATACACAACAACCATCATTCGATGATATTTCAAAACCGCTACCAGCCAACTAATCAAAATTCTACCTCTTCACTTCTCCAGTCCAACATATTAAGTGCCGGATTAAGCCCCATCACCCAGCCGTATTCTGCTGAAATATGTAATTACGGACCTGTATATCATCCGCACAATATTTTACATAATTACAATACGGTTTATACCAACGACAAGGGAATGAGATCCCCTAACTTTGGACGTGGAATGTACGGAAGTTACCAAGGTTTCTATGGCAATAATGGAAATTTTAGAAGTACTTCGCTAACAGGGACGCATCAGAATGGCTATGACTTTACGCCTCGATAGAAAATTATTTGTTTAGTTATGAAAGAAAACAAATGCAGCAGTAGAAATTAAAATATACTTGACTTAGGTATATGACAAGAACTCGTGAGTGTCAAAAAACGAAAATAAATATTTATAAAAAAGGAAACCTTTCACAAAAATTTCCTAATGCAACTAGACACAATCATTTATTTTATTTATTCTTAGTCGTGACTGATAAAATCTTAAATTGTCTACTTATTAGATACACGCTGATAAGTCTTATGCGGCAATATACTAGACAATATTATCATATACAGGGTGGTCCGAACTGTATTCCGGAAACTTCGGCAGCATATTCTGCAGATAAAAATAATTAAAAAATTCGTATAAATATATGTCCTAAAATGCTTAGTTTCGGAGACACAGGGTGTAGAAAATTCATTTTTATTTCGATTTTTTTCAAATAATTTATGATGTAACGTAAATATTTGAATGAATATTGGTGTCTGGGAGTTTTTTGACATGAGAAAGTTGATTTTGATATCAATATGACTCCTACTTGTACAGGGCGCCACCTACATATTTTTAACTGGTTTGACGAGTAATAACTTTTAGTCCGTACCTGTATAAAACTACTGAGTAAAAAAATATACATTTACGACATTTTTTACGTAAAAAAGGTATCTTGGGAAAAATCGCTACGAGTAATGGTTCTCGAGATATCTGGAATCATCAAAATTATCAATATCTGTCATTATTGACATAAATTAAACATGTTGACTAAATAGTTATTAGACTGAAATCATAAATTTGAAATGTTTTTGTGCCAAAAGTTCAACAGAAACTTTTTTATCATCATTTCTTCGCAGAAAAATTTAGGATTAATTTAAGAAAATACAAATTTCCCGAATTTATTATTTCAGTTAAATAACTATAAACTCAAAGTGTTTATTTTTTGTCAATAATGACATGTATTGACTATTTCCATTCTAAATATCTTGAGAATGGTTACTTGTAGCGATTTTTACCAAGAGACATTTTTTACGTAGAAAGTCACGAAAATGTATATTTTCTCACTCGGTACTTTTATACAGGTACGGACGAAAAGTTATTACTCTTCAAACCAGTTAAAACGCATATAGATGGCGCCCCCTACAAATGGGAGTCATATTGACATCAAAATCAAATTTCTCATGTCAAAAAACTTCCGGATACCAATTTTTATCCAAATATTGACGTTACTTCAGATATTATTTTGAAAAAATCGAAATAAAAATGAATTTCTACACCCTGTATCTCCGAAACTAAGCATTTTAGGACATACATTTATACAAATTTTTTAATTATTTTTATCTGCAGAATATGCTGCCGAAGTTTCCGGAATACAGTTCGGACCACCCTGTATATTACAGGGTGAGTTTTCTACGATGTTCTCTATGGGTATCTCGGAAAAGGACAAACACCGGAAAGGGACAAGGACAAGGTTACACAAAAATGGGATAACCTGTATAAAGTTTCATAAAAATATGGCCCCTAAGACATTAGGAAAAAACAATTTTTTTGACAAGTTTGACATCCAGCATCTTAAAAACAAAGCAAGCATTTTTGAACACATATTTATATGAAATTTTTACCTTAAAAATACTTGAAAATAGCGGACACTTATTCAGATACACCCTGTATACTTATAGTCAATATTGATTATAAAACTTTTAGATGGAAAAGTAGATAGACACCGTGATATTCTCTGTCTGATTATTTAAAATGGTATTAATTGAATCCGAAGTATTATGTACAGGAAATTATAAACTAGAATTACAAACAAAATATTTTAGCGTTTAACGTTAAATAAAATGCAAGTGCCAAAGTTGTATATACTCACTAGGATATATTTTAAAATAAAAAATATATATATAGAATATTAAAAATAATAAAATGATAATTTTATGATTAGGTTAGAAAAAAATTATTATGTGTTAATGTTAATAATAAACTATTACCGAATTACTTAGTGCCTTGTAAAATAATCGAATTTATTTATTTATTAAAAGATCTTAAACATGTGGATATTGTTTTATTTCACAGTTATTAAATTTACCTTTCCAACGGTTTTCCTTCTGCGAAAATTTCCCTAATATTCTAAAGGATGGCACAGTGCAGTATTCCAAAAAAGCTCCAAATCAAGTATCCTAAAGCACTAATTCACCACAATAGTCAGCCCTATAACTTTCTTATTTTTTCAGATAAAAAAACGAGATTGGGTATGTTAGTAGGTATATGACATAAATTAGGATTGATTGACATATTCAGTTGTTTTTGGTCACTTCCTGTTTCACCGGAAATGACTACAACTTTTGATTTTTAAATGGCACACTCGGTTTTTTTCTTTATTGAAGAAAATGACACTCTGAATAGAATGACATATTATATGTCAACTTTTGACGTTTTCAAATATGGTTTATTTGAAATTGTAACATGCGGTCCATAACGACAAATTGACTCGAAATACGAAGTGTGTGGTACCAAACTATTCGTAAAAAGTGCTTTTTCCAAATATACTAATAAGCCACCCTTGTTCTATTTCACAAAATTGAGATATGACTAAAAATACGATTTGATCATATTTTAGCCGGCCATACATACATACATACATATAGCCGGCAAGGACATGACATGAAAGACATTGGACTATCAAATCTATTTTTCCAATACTCCTTGTTTAAAAATTAGTATTCTTAACACAGCCATAGCACTATAGATTGAATTTTAAAGTAGGATTTTAAAGCGAGAATATCAAAAGTTGACAGATTTTATCTCATTCTATTCAGAGTGTCATTTTCTATCGAAGAAAGTAAAAAAAATATCGAAGGTGTCATTTAAAAATCAAAAGTTGTAGTAATTTGCGGTGAAGCAGGAAGTGACCAAAAACAAATGAATACTAATTTATGTCAAATCTACACTACCTCCATATTTTTTTTAAAAAAATATTTGTGACAATGTCAAATTCCAATTGAAAATCTGATTTGGAATTCTAAATTCAAAGAATTTTTATATTTTTTTAACACGAAGTACTTTATAATAGTAGTACAAAATTCAGTCTACAAAAATTTGCAAAAGAAAAGTTCGTCTTTTTTTCGAGAAATGAAGTTGTTGACTCAAAAGGGTAAAGCTTCATTCAGAACCTCCCAATTAGTGAAATAAATTAGTATTTATTACACATTACAATTACACTTTATACTCTTTTTAGTTTACGATCATTCACAATGTCTAAGAAACACAATTAAACTTAATAAAATTACCTAGCAACAGCTTGCAAAAGTCTGTTGTATTCATAGAGAAAGCATAATATTTAGCTTATAAAACAATAAACTCAATAAACTTTTGATTTCTAACCAAAATTTTTCTTGACGGGTGATCTTTGAATAAGAAGCGGGTGATAATCAAAGGCCAAAATGACATTCCTCGCAAATTTTGAAGTATAATTAGTGGAAAAGTCAAAGGTTTGTTAACTTTTTCCACTAATTGAAAATAACTACCACTAATTATGACGTTCTGAATGCTTACATTAAAATCAGGTAAACAAATCTACGGGTAATTGAAATTACTAATTTATTCCACTGATTTCGAGGTTCTGAATGAAGCTTAAGACAATAAAGATTTTATACATGCTGATATGCCAATCAATTTTTAGTATATTTACAAGAGTAATTTGATTGTCTGGTGACCCAATATTTCGAGTTCATCTTCATTTTGATATAATAAACCACTTAGTTAAATTTGAATGCAATCTACTTAAAGATAATATTTGAGATATGTAGACTAAGACTGATAATTGTGATAATGTACGAAACAACAAATAAATATACAGGGTGTTTCAAAACAAATGCGAAAAACTTCAGGGGGCGATTCCTTGTTCAAAATAAAGGGTAGTTTGCTTCATAAACGTTGGGTCAAAAGTCAACCATTAGGGAGATATCGCGGTACAAAGATGGCGGAAAAATAATGTTTTTATTTTTTATCTTGAAAACGAAAAGAGATAGTCTAATGAAATTTTATGGGAGCATTACTGTTACGAAAACACACTTTCTGGTAATTTTTTGACTTTTTTAAAATGAGTGGAAGGGGTTGAAATAAACTACCCTTATCATTCTTGTTAACGAAATTTAAAGAAAAATCTTATCAAACACATGCAAAAAAATTGATTTGGATAGCTTGGTTTATTTAGAAACTTTTTTATCTCTTGTGTTTCTTTGATAAAACTCGCCGATTTGAAATTAAAAAATAACATGTAAAGCATTACATGTCAGGATCAAAAACATTTTTAGATAAAGAATCTAGTGATAATAACGATAATAATAACAATCTAGATAATAACGTATTGCAGTAGAGTAATGTCAATAAAATAATATTAGAAACATCCTAAAAAGTGACAGCGGCCGACTAAATTTTTTCCTAAAAAATTAGGGCAGCCCACTAGATTTTTATCAAAAAATGTTTTTTGTCCTGATATGTAATGCTTTACATTTTATTTTTTAATTTCAAATCGGTGAGTTTTATCAAAAAAACACAAGAGATAAAAAAGTTTCTAAACAAACTAAACTATCCAAATTAATTTGTTTGCATGTGTTTGGTAAGCTTTTTTTTTAATTTCGTTAACAAGAATGATAGGGGTAGTTTATTTCAACACCTTCCACTCATTTTAAAAAAGTGAGAAAATTACCAGAAAGTATGTTTTCATAACAGTAATGCTTCCATAAAATTTCATTAGTCTATCGTTTTTCGTTTTCAAGATAAAGAATAAAAACATTATTTTTTCGCCATCTTTATACCGCGATATCTCCCTAATGGTTGACTTTTGACCCAACGTTTATAAAGCAAACTACCCTTTATTTTGAACAAGGAATCACCCCCTGAAGTTTTTCGCATTTGTTTTGAAACACCCTGTATAAAGTATTTAAAGTTAACGTCTCCTAATCCTACATGGATTATATTTGAAAGAAAACAAAAATCAGAAAAAAAAAGAACGAACTTGAACTAATACTAATACTACTAATAACTAAATGACATTAGCATAAAAATAAACTCTCGTTTTCGAACATACGAAAATGTTAAAAGCAATATGACGGCACAAAATCCTAAAAATTTAGATAAAATTATTGGTTGTCCAACTTTTGGACATTTTAATGTGACAAGTATGTACAGGGTGGGCCAAATTGGACGCTTTTAAAGGGAAACACCTTTTTCTATAGAAGATAGACGAAAACTAATATCGGTGTCTGGAGCTCAATTTTTGACAAAAACATGATGGTGGAAACCGCACATCGATATCTATTACCGTTCTCCGGAACTAAGGGG